GGAATTAAGAAACAAATTATTGGCACTTGTTTGCACTAAGGACACGGTGTGTTACAAATTGTTTTATTTTATGCAGGATATCAACATTATTTTGAATATTCATTTAGTCATTGTCTTTAAAATCTCGGTCTGGAGGCCGTTCATTATAACCGTAAATTTCTTCAGTCCTCTGGACAAATTCCTGTACAGTACCTTAAGTCAGTCCAAGATCACTTCATTTCACATCTTTTACAGTTCATTATTTGTTAATCATCCTATACTGGACGTTATACAGTCTGAGCTACTGAAAACGACATTTAGTAAACAAATACCATGCTTAAAGTATTTTATTAAACTGCTTACCATTTACATTCTCTGTTGAATTCGGCCAGGTCGCAGGATGTTCCTGGACGAACTGAGTGAGATGAATATCACGTGGTACTCTGGTTGTTTTGCAAGCGAAGAGATGCGTCATTAGTATAAACTTCGGGCTGAAATGAAAATAAACAATACATGTACTGATAACTCCCTCAAGCAATCCATCGAAAAATATAATTTTGCCTACTTACAATCTTTGGAAAATTAGACAGGCAATGGAATGATAATTGTTTCTGAATGGTAGAAAGCAAAATTTTCCCTCTGTGTGAGAGGGAGATTATTTTAGTTTAAGTACTGTACAGAGCGTAAAATGCCTAAATTTTGTAGTTTTCCGACATTATCACACTTGTTAAGTACCATGAAGCTCACAAGAGATAAGCCTGGGTGCCGAATATATAACTAGTTTTGGATTCCGAATGTTTGTGACTATCAATTCACTGCTTTTTACCTCAGCAACACAAAACATTATTTGCCATCATCCTCAACAGTTTGTGAAAGTCAGTGTAAGATTGAACAGAAAAGACATTTTCAATAATATCGTGATTTGTGCAGGTCACCAAGTGTTACTAGAAAAATGAAAAGTAAGAGGTTGCCGGCAGGTAGTTTGTGAGGATGGTAGATGGATAAAAGTGACTCATGATCGTATCCAGTGAAGGTATTTGGTATTAGCGGGGTTAAAATTTTGAGCTCTGTTACAGCATACTAAAATATGTACAGTCTTTAGTTACCGTGTATTTTATTTGGCGGTCCTGTCGTATAGTAACATATTTTTACACGTAATTGAAATTTGGATGTTGCATTTTAACAATTAATCTACGATACATCACAATCAGTATCAAGTACTGTACGTGTCGCGTATGCATCCTCAGTAAATTTCTGTTGTGTTGTGTTGTATGCATACGATACGACGCCGGCTTGTATTAATGAAACTGGGAACACTTCCATTTATACTCAGAGGAAGCAACTTGATTAAAAACCTTATCTCCTATTTTGCTTGCTTCGAAAGAACATTCTGAATATTCGAATTTACTTAACGAAATGTTTTAAATCATTTAATTACTGCTTCTATTCATAATCTCTACTATTTAATGTGCAGCTCTGGGTTTCAAACGGGACTCTATATTTAATCTATGTAAAATACTTCATTAAAAAACAATGCGCGCAACATTCGAGGAAAGAACGGGATAATAATTGTCAAGCTCAGAGTTTAAAAAAAAGGTTTTATTAGAAGATTTGCTTAATAACTTCAAATTTTGTTTATAGTATCAGCTACTCTCACACTCGCCTTAAAAATATCTGTGATTAACGCTTTATAGCCTAATGGTACCTTATTGAAAATCTGTAAGTTTACCCTTCTTATGATCCGTACGGCATAATTCTCAGTGTAAACAGCGATCCTGTTTCACAAATGCATTATTTGTATTTACTTTTCGAAATATGGAATGATTTCTCAACATATTTTAATATAGCTCCCAACTATTTTTAGTTGTCAAACAGGCCTGTTGATGAAAGTTCTCTTATTTTATTACAGGGAAAGGTTCTTTGCATCAATGACAGTAAATGGATAAAATATACAATTAGAGCAGATTCAGGCACGAGATTACAAAGAATTGGATTCACGGTCCCACAGCTTTTAAGAGAATGTCAGCATTATGATTTCCAAACACATACAAACAACAAATAAATGAAACTCATTTGCAAATAATGTATGAGTAATATTTCATAGAGTCTGTTCCGGATATTACTCTATTTTCATCTATTGCAATATTACATTTAGTACAATTTTTAAAATGTTTTAATTTTTCGTATTTCAGTAAAGCTATAAATACCATATACATATACTATATCAGTTTACTTTCATACGCAGTCCTGTAATAACAAGTAATTAAATCACGTCCATTGACAAAAATTCCGACGTTATTTCCGGTTTACAGAAATAACGTTGTCTGTCTCCTGGTATGTTGAGCTGTGTAGTCTCGTAGAAAATGGAGGATATTTCAGAGGTAAGTTATGCCTCCGTCATCAGATCGCCGCCTTGCAGACGAAAGCAGTATGCACCTCTGAAACGTCGGCAAACTTCTACGAGACTTCTCGGCGCAACATTCCATAAGACAGTCAACCTCAAGTGAAATTATACTAATTTCGCACATTTTCATCTACCTAATCACTGTATGGCGTGTCAATAAATACCAAAATAATGCCTTTCGTAATTCGTTCAACGTTAGGTCATATCCCAGCCTAGTTTAATCCAGTTCTCATTATGATAATATTTTCTTACAATCCACACAAATATTGTCCTTTCGTATCTTAGCGGGTCTCCCCAATGGAAATTTGTTGTGGTTTTCGTAATAATAATAAAATTATATTGCTTTCTCTTGTACGTCAGATAATAGAGAGTTTTAGAAGGTCGCAGCTCTAGGGCATGATTTTACTCTCCTGATATAGGTCAACTGGGCATAATTTACAAGCCTGTTTTAAAAATATTCCATGGAGGATTTATAAACCACCGTTCAATGATAAACACTAAAACGCCAGCAACATCTGTAACAGTTCAAATACATAAATTTAAAATATTAGGATTACTTAAGTAACTTCAAACATACGCCATTGTCCCAAATAATGTTACAAATTTTCATGAATTTTGTGGCCGGTGTTTTCCGTTCTGAACACTGATACGAACTCAGCAGTTCCTTCACTTAGTGGATGATGTGTGGGTAGAGGCTGCGTTGTTTCCATATCTAACAATAGTGGTCATTTGCTTGCAACGGAGGTGGACATTCTAGTAACATGTCACTCTGTCTTATTATCGTATTTCTGCACCAGTAGTTTCAGGCAGTTTGATTTAACTAATTTCAGACTTGAAACGTTCAGTACATGCTAACGACCTTGAAGCTCCATAGCTGCATTACAGGTCAAAATGTTGACAGAGTCCGCTCTATTTGATCACGTGACAACGAGATTACTACACAGCGTTGAAATGGATGGGCAGGTAAATATCGTTGGAACTGATCTTAATTAATATGTATGAGGAAATTCAATTATCACTGTATCCTGTATATTAGAATTTTATTTTTTACAAAGTCGAGAGGGGGCTTAGTTTAAAGAACACCGAAAATATTTAATATCACTGACTTCTATGCTGGAAGGTCCAGTATTGTGTTCATAAAAGCCAATTACTGTATCGTATTCCGCGTCAGATAAATTCTGTCGACTTTCTTATGACCTGTCTGTTCACAAACCCCTTTAATGTTACTCTTACACCTTCGCCCTATTCTTGTACTTAGTATTTTCCCTTCATTGTTTCATTTAGAATTTTCATGAATTTATTAATTTACATTCGTTCTACATTCCCGTAGGTCCGGTCCGTATGAAGAGTTGGCTAAAGGAAACTCAAGTATGTATTCCTTCGTGGAAAGATTGGGACTAGCCTCTTCAATCTGACCCAAGAACTGAAGATGGGAACAGAGCAGAGACAGCTCTCGATAGATAGTGGCGTGGTCTCTCTTAGTTCCCTGAAGGGTGGATAAAGTCCACAGAAAGCGCAATACTGAAATATTCAGCCTGCTTTCTTCCGTAGCTGAATCAGGTAGTAGAGAGCACCCGTAGAATTATGAAGGACAAAACCTGAAGTGAATTTATGTTTCGTATAATCTACAAATACAAGAACATGCGTTCGTCTATGTATCAGACTGTACTCAATTTGCGATCCCCTGCAGAGAGTAATCTGTACTTGTAGCATGTGCTGATCTCGGCGGGAAATTGAATCTGCCTTGCAGATAGAGTGTGATTATATCTAAAACATAGTCCGAAATTTCACATGGACAATTTTGCAGCGCTCTATCGAAATGTTATTGGGTTAGTTTCATAGCTGCGTCTTGGAGCTTGAATTTAATTTACTCTGAATGTCATCCTTTTGCAGCCGTTCGTATTTCCTTTCAGGAGTAAGGAGAACACATTAAAATTTCAAAACGTAGTATTATGTTTACAGGCAGGTCGCTTATCAAAATTCTTTCTTGAAACCGACTAATCTTCATGTTTGATGATAATATAACAAAGGTAAGTCACATGGTTACTCCAAATGTAAATATTATAACAGAACAATAACTAAGATATTATTGTATACGTTTATGTTCAGAACGGTGGCAAGAGAGAACGAAGATGTGAGGAGTAATTTTTAAAATGTAACATTAAGTTGGACACAATCCCTCCATAAAACGTTAGTGACATAAGGTTTGTGAAAATATTGCATTAAACTTATTACCTGGATTCTCAACCTCTTAATTTCATTCTATTCATTCCTTCTCTCCGGTGTTTACGTCCGTACAAGGCTTCAAATTAATACTTAGATACTGTTATTTCATTAGCAATGAGTACCTAGTATCAAAAGCGCATTTTATCTTGAGTTTGGCGATAATGAAACACGCTTGCTAAGCTAATAAACTAATTCTAGTCTTCAGAAGTTGATAGTCGATTAGATAGTCAACATATTCTACGTCTTTTCTAGAACCTGAAGATTCGTCAACCTCATACGCTATTTCATTGAAGTCCAATTTAATATTATCTATCCATCTGTGTCAAGTTCTCATCAAGTAGTTCCCTTCCTTCAGCATCTTTAACTATAATCTGTAAATGTAACATTTTCTCGATGCGTTCTATAGATCCTGCTCATAATATTCTGTTTTATATCACCTGTTCCGTGAAGGGGGTAAACTGTGAAGCTCTTCATCCTGTATTTTTCTTTATCTTCCACTTACACCTCTCTCTGACGTCATAAAGTTTTCGTCAGCTCCCTGTTATCAAATAATCTCAATAAATGACCTCCCTTCTGAGATGAAAGACCAAGTTTCATATCCACATAAATCAGCAGTTAAAGTTATAAATTTTACAATTTATTCTTATGTTTTGGTTTAAAATATAAAAACATATAAGCGATTCTGAATTAATAAACGTATTTGTTTCCAATGTGAATTATTTTATGGTTTTAACTTTTACTTGATTTATAGTGTAATAATTTTTGTGGCTTGAGAACACCCATGTGTTTGTGGCATCATATCGCTTCATAAAATTAGAAATATACAATACAAAGTTTAACTTTAAAAAAGGATAAAACGAAGATAAATTTTATTACGTGTTCTCGTCTACTTCACAAAGTAAACTTACAATTTACTCTTTTCACAGATACAATGAAAGAATTCCCCCAACAACACATAATTGTGGTTTTGTCCCATGAAACAATATGGATACCTGTAGAAAATGTTACATATAATATCTGAACTCTACAACTGAGAGAAAAGGAGTCTAATTTAAAGTTTAGAAGTAGAATAATAAATAACGGGTAGAATTGTGTGTTTTAATGTCTTTACTGCCAAGTGTTGGCCTACACAATTCCCTGTACCACCTGCTACCATCCTCTCGGGTCCATTTCGTTAGTTTCCGGAAATTTCTAGACTAAGGTTCCCATAATTTTACAAATATAAGATGGCTATAACGCCTTTCAACATTGTTGCATATATGTAGACACATCCCTAAAATTAGATGGAAAGTCTTAATTCAAGGTAAGCAGCACTGAAACGAATAGCAGATATAAACTAGAAGTTTCTCCAGTTATTATCTATTAGGTTATCATCGCATTGTGCCAGGTTATAGCACCGAATAACATTCAATACTGCTACTCTCTGAATAGGCTTAACCAAAGAGGGTGCGAGACTTAGTGAATGTTACGGAAGAATAGAACTTCAGCGTAGAGACAACAGTATGGATCATAAAAAAGTATACGAAAAAAATGTTAACTTTCGAAAGAGAGCAGACAAGATATGAAAAATTTCACAACCTGTGCTTATCAGAAGGCAGGAATGAAATGAATGAAAAATTAGTTTTTTCATCATGTATACTCGTCAACATCGCATTTGTGGCCAGATACCTTGAGAAACAGAACGTTTTCAGAATAATATGAAAGGTCATTTATTATACCAGCCCACTATACACTTCGTGGTTGAATCTGAACACGGATTTTTTTCTCCGGAAATGACTTGTGCTACAGCTATTGTATTGAACAATTCCAACCAGAGATCATTTATCTTAGGCTCTTGCAGGACGTGTGCTCAAGGAAAACAAAACACTGCCGTCTACCAGCACCTAACAATGGCCAGCTCCCAAGGCACACTCCCCTACACATGTCCTTGCGGTGTTACAGAATGTCAGATTGTATCTGCAGGCTTGTCAACGCCTCGTAATTATTCCTTCCCCCAACGTACACTTTCTTTCAGTTAATAAGTGCCTTACAAAACCAAATGACTTTGCGATGCTTCATAACTGTATGGTACATTGTTCGAAAACTTTATAGGAGATGAATGCCCGGCTGAAAATATTGCGGTGTATTCAGATGAAAAAAACAAGGAATTGATATGCGTGTCCTGGGTTAGTTAATAACTCTTGTCAAATAGGGCACTTGCGTATAAAGAATTTAATGAAAACGGTAATGACATTTTGAAACATAAATTCCATAAATGTTTTAATTAAAGAGACTTTAATTAAAGAGACTTCCAGTAAATAGACGAGCTACACAAAAGTGTAATACACTAAGCTTTAATCTCAACAAGACTGGTAATGTAAAAAAATAATTTATAGTATCAGGTTAAAGTCAGAAAGACGTTTCCAAAAGTATCTGACAGAACATCAAAATGTTAATTACAGATATTCTGGGATGTTATCACTTTAAGAACAATGATTTAGCAATGAATTAATGGAGATGTCTCTGATTTAAAAGGTCATTTCGGAAGAATGTAGAATATGTTAATTCTTGATGATGAGGCTACACCATTTATCCAACGACACTCTCCCCAGTACCTCTATCCATGATAGCTTACATGTGTAATTAAATCAGTAGAAAATACAGAAGTAGTCGAATTCCTATAAACAAAAGCAAGAAACTTTCGCAGACAACATTACGTAGATGAAAAATAATCGTAAGAAAAAATATCTTCATTTATTAAAGATGTAAACAAACACTAGAAAGACTGCAGGGTTTACTTTTAAGCTGGCAAGATGCGAGTTTGATTATGTACTTGTGTATTCATACTATATGCATGTAGTTATAACAATAACGAAATAAATTGGTTAGATGTCAGGTTCTCACGGTGGGGAATAAAATATGATAAGATAAATAAAAAGCATTGGGAATTTTGGTTAAAATTCTTTGTGAATTACGTCACTTTGGAGACCTGTGCGTCTATAGAAAAATAATACTAAAATTGATCCTTGTTGAGATAATGAAAATGGATTCAGTTGACTTATGACGTCAAATATAGTGCCTTTATGGACAGGTCAATACACTTTTAGGTTCTGCTGGAACAAAAATTTGCTGGACTAAGTAAACAACCATTAAGAGGTTAAGTAAGAAGCTGTAGTATAAACTGTCAGTGAGTTAGTATCCAAAACACCGCAGAGAATTTTGTAACAGACACGAACGAGTTTTCTGCGTGTTGTTTCTGGATTAATAAGTCCTTGGACGTGACGGTTCATAACACACACTGTTCGCAGTTGCCACCAAACACTGATCTCCTGTGGACAGAATAGTGGTTACGGCATTGTGGTCGTGCAGAGAGTAGAACAGGGATCGAATCTCCGACCTATTGCATGGGTCAGGTTTACCGTTCATTTTCGGAATTAAACTCCGATATGTATGTTCCTATTCTACGCAAACCACCATTGTATTAATAATGCATAGCTGAATCACTAAACAGTTGATGGATTTCGGTTAGAATCCTAACCATATTGCTGGTATTGTCACTGTTTCTATTATTACTCTATCCCTGAGGTTCATTACGAATTTGATCTCTCCTTCTGAGGAAGATAAATTGACCAATGTAAGGTTTGAGGTTTTGACAGCGATGAGTATGAAGATTTCCGTCTTCTGGGTTGTTGCGCTGTGTAGTCTGGTCGATGTTTATCAACGTTTCAGAGGTCATACTGCCTCCGTCATCAGGGCGGTGAGCATGAAGATTTCTGTCTTCTGGGTTGTTGCGCTGTGTAGTCTGGTCGATGTTTATCAACGTTTCAGAGGTCATACTGCCTCCGTCATCAGGGCGGTGAGCATGAAGATTTCTGTCTTCTGGGTTGTTGCGCTGTGTAGTCTGGTCGATGTTTATCAACGTTTCAGAGGTCATACTGCCTCCGTCATCAGGGCGGTGAGCATGAAGATTTCTGTCTTCTGGGTTGTTGCGCTGTGTAGTCTGGTCGATGTTTATCAACGTTTCAGAGGTCATACTGCCTCCGTCATCAGGGCGGTGAGCATGAAGATTTCTGTCTTCTGGGTTGTTGCGCTGTGTAGTCTGGTCGATGTTTATCAACGTTTCAGAGGTCATACTGCCTCCGTCATCAGGGCGGTGAGCATGAAGATTTCTGTCTTCTGGGTTGTTGCGCTGTGTAGTCTGGTCGATGTTTATCAACGTTTCAGAGGTCATACTGCCTCCGTCATCAGGGCGGTGAGCATGAAGATTTCTGTCTTCTGGGTTGTTGCGCTGTGTAGTCTGGTCGATGTTTATCAACGTTTCAGAGGTCATACTGCCTCCGTCATCAGGGCGGTGAGCATGAAGATTTCTGTCTTCTGGGTTGTTGCGCTGTGTAGTCTGGTCGATGTTTATCAACGTTTCAGAGGTCATACTGCCTCCGTCATCAGGGCGGTGAGCATGAAGATTTCTGTCTTCTGGGTTGTTGCGCTGTGTAGTCTGGTCGATGTTTATCAACGTTTCAGAGGTCATACTGCCTCCGTCATCAGGGCGGTGAGCATGAAGATTTCTGTCTTCTGGGTTGTTGCGCTGTGTAGTCTGGTCGATGTTTATCAACGTTTCAGAGGTCATACTGCCTCCGTCATCAGGGCGGTGAGCATGAAGATTTCTGTCTTCTGGGTTGTTGCGCTGTGTAGTCTGGTCGATGTTTATCAACGTTTCAGAGGTCATACTGCCTCCGTCATCAGGGCGGTGAGCATGAAGATTTCTGTCTTCTGGGTTGTTGCGCTGTGTAGTCTGGTCGATGTTTATCAACGTTTCAGAGGTCATACTGCCTCCGTCATCAGGGCGGTGAGCATGAAGATTTCTGTCTTCTGGGTTGTTGCGCTGTGTAGTCTGGTCGATGTTTACCAACGTTTCAGAGATCAAACTGCCTCCGTCATCAGGGCGATGAATCTCCCTGATGACGTAGGCAGACTAGACAGAGCAACAATCCAGAATACAGAAATCTTCAAAATGACAAATATTTCCAAACACATCTATGTCAAGAGGAATGAATTCCTGACGAAATATATCTGTATATATTTTACTTTCTTGGCATAGGTCTAATTGTATTAAATCGACTTTACTTTTCAAACAGGCAGTTTGTTGCAACCGTGACCAAGCGGCAACTTTTCCTACACACGTAAACTACGTTTGCTCACAATATGTGATCCTAGGGTTCAGTCAGCTTTCGAATGAGCTTATGATTTATGTGCCACTTAAACGATCAATCCGTTCTTTAACCGTAGCAAGCACAATAAACACAGGCTCTGGTGTGGAATATAAAGATCAATTTAAGGTACATTGGTTGAATTATTCTGAAATTACGCTTTTTTGTAGAAATTCATTACGTATAAGGACTACATTATCTGTCATTTACTAACGTCGTAAAGTTTCATATGTGAAAGAACTACGAAATATGTGACGTAAGGCGTAAAATAAAAGTAAAAACAAAATGTTAAATATGTTGACGAAATTGGTTTTATAATTGGCCCACTATGCCAATCACATTTGCCTATGGCAATTATAGAGACCGGACATATATTTTTTTAATAAGCACAAACCACTTGGAATGTTTAGACTCTTTCTTCCTTGTTCAGTAGCTCCATCAGGATTGTTGCTCCCCTACGTTCTCAGTTTACGTCGATCAACATTTCCCGATATATGAAATGTGTCTACTTTTGTGTGTGGCGTGTTTAACTGTGGGGCAGCACATCTGGTTGTGTTTCTTGGACTGTAAATAAACTGTACCCACCTTAGCTTTAGTAATTGGCCATCTCCTTCCAGGTTTTCTCCTTTACAAATACAGCCAATCTGATCGGGCAATATAGACCATTTGCAAACCGACACTATAGCACAGAATCAAAAACCCACTGCATGCATCAAGCATTTCGTACTGAAGACACCATTTTAACAACTGTGACTGTAGCGCTTCAGGTGAAGAGATTTGTAAACTCAAATGGCACGAATCACAAACTTAATCAAATAACATAAAATTGATTTAGTTTTCATTTCTCCGCTTTTCGGTGCACAAATACTGTTACAGTTCAATGACACGCATTGTATGGGTACACTGTATGTGAACGTGAAAGATTATGTGATTGAATTGAAATTTAATCACATAATATTTCAATTACAGAAATTCAATGGCTTCAAATGTTTTTGACAGTAAAATTACTAAAATAAAGACAGGGAAGTGATACAGGTAATGAAACTCAAGAGCGGTAGTGGGAGAAATGTGGGTTCAAAAAAATATCATAAAAACTTTTAGTCCCCCCCCCCAAAAAAAAACACTACTGACTATGAGCAGAATATTTGTTTGTAGAAATGTGTCTTGAAATATCTGGAAGTTTCACATGGGAACAAATAATTTTTTGATGTCAAATATCATCGACCTGCTCGTCTGTCAATCAATCAACAAGCAATTCGCTGTATGGCCGATGTAACAACGTTTCATGTCCACGAGTTTCATTAAGAAATTAATACGGTTTTATTCAAACGAAAACAAATATTTTTTTCACAAAAAACATTAAAAGCACCCATAGAAGATATCACGAACCTAATCTGTATTTGTTTATATTTATAGTTATTAAACCTGAAATGTTCTAAGTTATTTCTTATACTATTGTATTATAATTATTTGAGACTCTGATTTTGCATTGTGTTCTTACATCCTACATACATATATGAATGCATATATATATATGCACGAATATATGTATGTATAATTATGTAGGCTACTCTATGGCTGTACATAAGTAGAATATAGTCTTAAGATCTTTAGCGGACACGATTTTAAACAGAACTGAAAGTTTTGACGTATGTCTATACTTCGTGTTCAAATAATTACGTAAACGTTTACCTACAGATTCATAATAAAACACGAGTACTCGACGATAAACAACAGAAGTTCAGTTTCCATAAAACTAGGAGAAATATTTTCTTGAGACACTCTTGATACTCCCAGAATTTTATATATCTTACTTTTTACCTTTTGCTTTTATTTTTAATGTTACAATTTTATTTTTATTACAATGTTTTTAAGTTAGTCGGAGATTTAAATTTGTTGTAGATTGATGGACCCCAGTTTCTAAGTTAAGACATTATCCTAGAGAGCGTCAGGTGTCCTGTAAACCCGATGGACGGTTCATGTGTTAGCGAGACGAACACCAACTGAGACTCTAATGATGACTTATGCAGGCCGCGTTGTTGTGTGCAGTTCACAAGAACAAAATGTGTAGTTTCTTACGGAAATCTGTAAAACTTTGTTATTACTGACATAAATTGAGGAACAACTTAAAGCTGGCCTATTAAAGCTGTCTTTTCTACAAATGTTGATTGAGTTGTCAGTAACAAAAGCGAATCACCGTGTCTTATTTCCATATTAAATTCGCCATTTACAATTACAAGTTTTACACTGGCGGGAGGTCGTTCTGTTAAGACTCTTGATATCCAATATTAATAATAAATCTTGCAAGAAAGGAGCTGTTGCCTTCACTGATTAGATTGAAATTTTCTTTGCGAAGTTAAAACAAAAGTGAAGACAACAGAAGCTGATTGCTTCTCAGGAAGCGATATTTTCGAAAGGAAATCTGAAGTTTTATCTTACACTATTTTTCTACTTTTTAATAAACAAAAATCTTACGGTAAGAACACAAACTGAGGATGTTTCAGATGAATACATTATTATATTAAGACTTTATGTAACTACGGTTTCAGTACTTAGATCACATAAGAGTCGTATAAGAGGATGAAAGTGTGTAATGAATTAGAAATTAGTTGGAAGGAAGTGGTCATGGCCTAATTTAATGTATTATTCCGTCATTTGCCTGGAGAGACTGAAGGAAGAAACGCGGAAACCTCTCTCAACGTAGTTATTTTCCGAGCCGATATTTGAACCGGGACCCCCTGAATAGAAAAGCTAACCAGTCAAATACGACTTTCGATGAGAAGTAAGTGCTGAAGAAAATAAGCGAATGTATAACACAGACAGTAAGAGGAGACTAAGGTTAATTACACAGTAATGAGATTCATAATTTGTACTTTTCGTTAAGTTTTACTGAAGTGACCATATCAAGAAACGAAAAGAGCGTTGCAGGTAGGCACAGGCAACCATTCGGGCGGAAGTAATAATAAGATTGACGCTTTATAAAGGACGTTTGGGCGGCCTTTGTCGTAGTAACGCAACTTAATGTAGACGTTTGTTTAATTTACGTTTCCTTAAAGTCTTTTAGTTTTTGAACCGCTACACTCGCTTACGGTTTGCCAGCATCGTGTCGTGAGGCTTCCAGAAATTCGTCTTCGCTTTATTCACATAAGCGTTACGACGCTTGGCGTCGGTTTGTCTATCTTGTGTCGTATGTCATCTCGAGGCTTGTTTCGCTTAATTGGGATTCGTGTGTCGACTTCCCAGCGATATGTTAAGACGTGAACTGAACTCGCAGTGATGTATTTTGCTCCTTTCGGCTTTAACGTGCTGTTATTTTTTATCTACATAACCAAGTTCGCCTAAGTGTCATGCATCCATGTAGCACGCACAGGGATAAGATAAGTCCGTAAGAAAGCTTTTTGTAAAGTTTAAGTAGCATATTTATTGAAGTGCATGTCAAATTAGGTGTATATATGTAAAATGGGTCCAACTCGACGAGGATATGTTCTGGTGAGCACGTGTAGAACAAGGTTATTAACGTTGGGTTACTTAAAATACGCGAGTTACTTGAGCAGCTAAGCATTTATCAGCGCCTAAAATAATAAATTAATACGTAGAATTTGTTAAATATACGAAGTTGATCATTCTCTGCAAACAATTGACTGAATCGTAAATCGTTTCATGTGAATGAGCTGTAATTCGTACATTAACAGTTAAAGATAAAAATCAGGTATAAGATGGATCTTGGCGTAATAAGTTGAATTATATGAAATGTCGTGCGTTTATAGAATCCAATCGGAAACCTGTAAAAATAAAGTGAAAGATTATATTAAAACGAACGATAATTCAGCGCCATTATTCACACAGTGTTGGTCGGCGAGTGGCATTGTTGTTGTTATTGTTTTTGTTGAATCAACAAGTTCATTATTATATAAATTCAGATAATATACTTTTAAAATGAACGTCTCTTCAATGTGTCAAATGACCGCTCTCGAAGTGATTTCCTTCCCAAATGTATGTACATATATCTTGTTCCTATTTCACAGGCGTATAATTTACGTACTCTAACAGCAGCTTACATGGTAAGCTTTATGAATACAGAGGTATATAAATGTTTTAATAATCAGTCATACAAAATTTAATGCTAATCATCCACAAATTGTTGAAGAGTCACTCATACCACCTGTTTTTAACCTCCGACATGAATTAATTTCAAATGTAGGGTACAGAGTTATGAAAAATATTTGATGGTCCTTCATAGAATATTCATTACATTTAGGCAGTGGAATGTATGAGAGTGTTATGAGAGTGTCAATTCCCTTTATCCCTTGCAATACGAAAAGTGGATTTAATATATTTCGAAGGATGCATTGATGCTGAATTCACAAAGTGGCCGCTTTCATATTAGAGGTTACAGGGGCTATGACGTCTCACAGAAATCATGAAACAGCAGCATTTCTCCCGGTAAGCCCAATTCGTACGATGTGTGCGAATACGTTTCGGAGTGTCGTCATTATCGCAGCGAAACGTCGCCAGTGAGATTTAATGAGATATAACGTACACTATAGCCTGACTATATATTGCTGTATTTGTCCATCACGCGGAATTCCTTGAAAACAATTACAAGTCTAAAAATGAGAATAACTTAAAATTTATGAAATGGTTTATACAGATGCTTTTCTATCTTTGACCCCGATTACCAGTTTACTGCCGTTTTATACATGGTCAACCATTGATCATGTTTGAAAATAGAGCAACGAAATGAAAACAATAAAACACATGCACTTCAAAGCATTGTATTACATTTACAATCATTTAATAGACACTTTAACATACCGAAAACGGAAATCACTATTATCTTTAATTTTTCTATGTGTCCTTGCCTGAAGTTACGTTTACTTTATCGGTAACTTCAAAATATCCACCCTTAAACCGCAAACCTTTCGAGAGATCTCCTGTTCGAATACTAGAGTCCTCTTCATGGCTTCTCTCAGTTTCCGGATGCAAATGCCGAGATAATATCTGGAAACAGGTCACGACTTAGCCTTCACGATCCTTTGAAGTTCGGCGAACGTGGTCGTCGTCTCGTATTACTATGCTAAATGATCCCTACAGTTGAACCAGCTCCTTTAATTAACACCTCTCTTTCTATACCACTACTGAGGCCTACGCGTTTTTCTATTTGTATACCTTGTTTATATCCATATAATTATTTGTGCAAATGTCTCTTTATATTTATATTCTTCCGTACATCCGTAGACTACATCAGTCACTCCATCCATCTTAAACTACAACTACAAATAGCTCTGGAGCAATGGATCACAAATGCGGTCACCACATAATTTTAAGTGTAGCTATCAGAATATTTCCGGTCTGCATTTACATATTTAGCATTTTATTTTGTTTCATTACTTTTCGGACCGCAATCCTGGCCATGATAAAATATCGGCTAAGATTAATTACCTTAGAACGAAGTTTCCTTTCCTTCACAGCTGGAAAGGCAGTACTTATTCTAAAAATGCGAAGATGGCTGGAAGATTTGCCCTATTTCACTGCTCTATAAGAGGTTTTACTTAAATAGTTATGGATTAATAAGAATTTAATATTCTGTCTTAATTCGATGTTCGGTTTGAATAATCAGAAGAAACCAGGGGAAAATTACATAAATACCCTGATTTGTAGCAACAGTCGCCCACTAAAATAATAACATAGAAATTATGATTATAATTGACTTTATTCTCTCAAATTTAGTACATCAATTTATATTCAGTTTCGAAAT